AGGAAAAATCCCTCTTCTTAAGGATGCCACATTTTTATTTCCAGAATACACCAGTAAGGGATGAGGAAAAAGTTAACACAAAATATAGTTATTGTGAGTTTGACATTTGACATAACCAACTCAGTACTACTTACTCATCATGTCTACTTCAGACCTGACAGAATATGTAGGGGTAACCCGCCTATCCTCTGTGGTGAGATTAGGATGTGGTCTGATTGGCGTTCACACTGGTGACTGCTTTCTGTATGAGTGAAGAAGCAAACAGTCTGTAAGGCATCTTAGAACTGCCAGTTTATACCAAATTTACCTTGGGGTTCTGGGATCTCTAGCTCTCACTGTGAAGTGGCATACACAAACAATGGACTAACTTTAAGACATTCAGTGGCTTCCATTTTGTTTTAAATCATTATGCCATGACATACACAAAAGTTGTTTATAGGGCCTGTGTCCCTGAAAGTGGACAAAAAATCTTGGCCACTCTGGAGTCTTGCCCAGTAAGGCTGAGATGGTAAGCTAGAGGTACCAGGCCCCCAAAACACCTTATATACTCTTCTTGCCATATTTTGCTTCTTATTTGACCTGAACTACTGACAGCTACCTATCTTCTACTTGCATTCTCTAGGTCTGATGAAATCCTGGCACAATCCTTAACTCTATAAACTTTACTATTCATAGGTTACTGCAATATTTAGCTGAACTAGTTGATTTTTCTCTTTTTCTGTATTGTTTCTTCAAAGTTTAGTTGCAGACAAGGACTGTCTTTTGACCTTCCCACTGATTAGCCTGAACCTCTAGATGTCAGCTTCCCAGACAGTCAAGGTCCCTTGGCTGCCCAGCCAGTGTCCTTCCCTGCCAGTACCTTGCTTCTTCCCTGTAGTTGGCCTGGCAAGCAGCTGCTTTCTCATGTCAGAGGTATTTTCTAGATCTGGCACTTAAAAAACATCAAGAAATGACCAATATCAATGAGTAGCAAAAATAAATTCTTTTGAAAATGTGCCTTCATTATGTACAAATTTTTCTCAGATTCTCTTGGTGAAAAGTAATAGAAGTTTACCTTTTATTTCATTATCAAAGTTGCTGATATAATATAAGATTCTTTGAGTATCCCATGATACTTAAAAACAGAAAAATGGATAGAATTAATGAATAACTTTATCTAATACAGTAATTTAAATTTTATCAGTATCCTCTATTCTTGTGTTTTGAGATTCTGTGGTTAGCATATTTCTTCTCTTTTGCTGTAAACTGGCTTTTCCACATGGAAAAGAATGTAATATAACAGAAAAACCACTTGCCTTTATTGTTTGGGTCACCCAAGAAAGACTGCTTTTCTTAATCCTTTATAGTTTCAAAAATGCCTGCTCAGATTTGCTCAACATAAAGACTAGTCTTGAAGCTTCTGATTAAAAGGAGATTTGTTTTTTCAGATTTGTTATAAGTTTCTTTCCAGTGAATGGAAATAAGCTTAGTGAAAAGGGAGCCTGGAATCTGCCGAGTCACCAGTTTGATTTAGGCATTCAATTAAAAGTTTAGCTACTCTGAAGAGAGAGGGCAAGTCTTCCAGGTCAGTGTGCAGTGTGGAGAAAAACTTGGAGGAAACCATCGAAGTAACCAGGGAATTGGTTCTTAAAACTCAGAAACCAAACCATATCAAACTAGAAGTGATCATTCATGGCTGCAAAAGTAAAAAAAGAAACTGGAGCAAGGCTAAACTAAGAGAAGATCTGGACTATCAACTGCTCTGAGGAGTACACTCCTGGTTCATGCTTATAATTCTGCTATACCAAGTTGCTGGCACTTTGGAGTTTTATTCTCTGCTGATATATGTGCCACTGAGTGCCTAAAATAGTCCAATAACCTTCTGTAAAAATAGTCTGTGGAGGGCCGTGAGGATCTCGCTGCAGAGCAATGGGGGGATTTTCAGAGCTGCTGGTCTAACAGCGCAGCATGTTTTTCATAAGAGCCCACCATGGCATCTCATGCTAGTGACTGCCAGGAATTGCCAATGTCCAATGTACATATCCTGTACATATATACAATCCCCACATCCTGTTTGTTCATGCATTTTATTGAAGTTTAGAAATGTAAATATTAACTGTGGCTTTTGGATATTTTTAACACTGAAAAGGAGCAGTGAGCTTCTATGTAACATAAATCATACACAACCTGTAATTCAACATTCACAGACTTCAAGTCCTTCAGTTTTAAAATTATAATTATTGTTTTATAAAAGCTGGATTTAATGATGTATTAGTGATAAGATAAAGAAAGAATTTGGTATGGAATACTTAAGAAGATACTCAGAGGTATTGATGACATAGAAGATTTTGGATTATCTTAGAAATGTTCTACAAAGTTGGCAAGTACTTAATTACTTTCCTTTATATCTTCATTTATATTTCATAGCTACATTTAGTCAATAATTTCTAAGTATTTATTGAGTTCTGTGTGAATATTCAAGTACTAAGGAGAAGTACATGGTTCCTATCAATTTTCAAATATAGAATCTTTCTGGAAAAACCAAATTTACCTGTAGGAAATGGAAAATAGCATAAACGGAAGTTTTAAAGGATATTACATTGGAAATGGACTTATAAAGTTTATTGCAATAACAATATAATCTACATGACGAGAAATAAAAATTAAATTAAAGCCTCTGATCAATACATATTTATTAATCAAAGCTGTATTAAAAATAGGGGAAATACAAGTATTGAATATGATCTTTAAGGTTTTCAGTTTATTCAAGGATAGTACAAATCACTTTCATGAGTAATAGGAACTGAAATAAATTAGATGAGAGATATCATTTAACTAGAAACACAAGAAAAACCTCTTAAGACTTCACCAGATTCCTTTTGAACATCTAACTTGCAATATCTTTTTTTATTTTTTATTTTTTGGTACCGGGGATCAAACTCGAGTCCTTGAGCTTGCGATGCAGGTGGTGGAACCACTGAGCTAAATCCCTGGCCCCTAACTTGCAATATCTTGAGGTGTCTTTTGCCTTTGCTTCATTTGGATCTCCTATTATGCTCTACAAAGGAATCTTTTATCATCAAGATACTGGGGTCATAAAACAACTTAGTGGGAAATAGGTGAATTGTGATGTCTCTAAGGCCAATTAGTATTCAAATTTCAATTCTCCTCCCCCCCCCCTTTTTTTTTATCAATAACATAAAGATGGTTCCACTAATGCCAAATAATCTTATGCCTTGTCAGCACTGTTTTCTGGTGATTCAGTGAACTCTATTTAAATCCTTATACATATTTAATAAATGGTAACAGTTGTTATTATTAACTTTGACCTATTCTAATGAGGCCTCTTGAGTAGCCACTACTGTAGCACTGAAATCTCTGAATTATAACTGCTCACAAATGGTCTAACAATCTATCCTTACAGTAGTCTATCTTTAAGTATACTTACTAATATTATTTAACATTAATTCTAAAATATAGTTTATAAAGCACATTCAAATATATTTCATTTGATCTTCATTCTTTTCAGAAAGTGTTACTATTATTTCCATCCTGTAGAAAAAGAAAGTGGGCAAGAGAGGCTTAGAGGACATGCCCCACTAGAATCATACCACCAGAAAGTCCCCAAATCATACAATCAAGCAATTTCTGAACCAACTTTAAGCCCAGGTCTTCTGATTCCAAATGCCATGTCTTTAACCTTACACCAAATGCCTCTCAATAATCTCTCTCTGTGTGTGAGTGTGTGTATATGTGTGTGTATGTATACAGTTATGTGAACTTTTTCCAAAGTGCCAGTTTGCCCAGAAGGGATGACTATAAATATATCATGAATGCTTAGTTGACCCACTATATGGAATCATAGATCAAGTTTGTGTTCATTATTATCATCAGTGTTGTGTGTTAAGACTTGGAATTTTGTAAGACTTGCTGAACTTCCTTATAAAGAAAAACATTTGATTAGGATTCTATAGGCACAGATTGACATTAAAAGGCTGTTAATTCTGTTAATTCCAGAGGGCACAGCTAATGAAATGTCCCAGAAGTTGAGCACTTGCCAAACACTGTTGCACAGGACAGCTCTCGATTAATCGTGATGAGAGTATTTCCTCTATCTAAATGAAATCTGTAATTTGGGATGGAGATTAAAAATCCTTTGGGGGATGAAGGGAAAGGTGCTGTGAAAATTGTAGAAACTAGAAAATAAAGATCGGCCTACTCAATATTCATGAAGCCAGACTGGTGATGCAAATAGAGATTGCAATCTCTTATTTTCTAATGACTTGGCATGTAGCACTCCTATATCAGTTTTACACAGATTTCTACTCAATGTTAAAAGCAATTGCTTCAAGTTGTACAAAATTTTAAAAAGGAATGTTTAGCATATCCAATTTGACTTTCTGCCATCTCTGAACTAATTTTTAATTTTCCATCTAAGAATTTTTAATGTATATAATCATAGATACAAAAAAGGAAAATAAAACTGATATGACACATGCATAATAGGTAAACATATAGGTAAGATATCAATAAGTGAATGCTCAGTGCATTGAATACAGCATACTTCCAAAAGGCAATTTAAAGAAAATAGCTATAAGATTGTTAAGGTTTAAGTTTGTTTCCTTGAGAGTGAAATCAAAATTTCCTTAGCCATCTCATTTTGTAAAGAAATGTTACACATTTTAACTCTCATCCATTTTATTAGAAATCCTTAAATCTCATTCACAGTATAAATCCTCACCTCCTACACTGTTGTGTGGAATTTAAGAGAAAGTGAATGCAAATTCTATGAATACTCACTTTATTTCATTATGTTGTGATATAGCAAACAAATATTTGAAGAGGGGGAAGGTGGAGAAAACCCTGAGTCATTTGATTTAGCCCCTCAACAGCTGCTACAGTGCCCATGAAGGAATTCATGAAATACTGTAGTTGTTTAGTTCTTTGCTGAATAAATTAACAGAATCTGTTTTAGAGTAGATTATTTGTTATTTAAATTTTTTCTTAATTCTCTCTTTTAGGCCAGCCCTGCTCCTATAATTGTCAACACAGATACTTTGGACACAATTCCTTATGTAAGTAACATTTTTATTAAGATTTTCTTTAAAAACTGTAGCAAAACTTAATTAGCTGAATTTCAATACATAATCTAACTTTGATATACAGTCACTTCGAACCAAACTAGATAATCTTATGGAATGAAATGAAATATACAATTACTTTTGTGAATTTTCTTTTGATATTTCCTGAATCTTGGCTTAGATATGCCCAATATTTCCTCCTTTCATTTGTGTTTTGTGAAGCATAGGAGTCCAAAATGAGGAAAAAAAGCATAGATAAGTCTTTTCAAATAATTTTAGTTTGCTGAGTTGTTTGCTGGAAAGTAACTGAACTTTTCCTAGCAGACATGGACAAACTCCTTTGAGTTTCTTACTGAAGGAGCACTCGAGTCAATTTTTTTGCCACAGCCTAGAACATGAGTGATCAAAAAATATTGGATGGGTTTTGTTTGGCTTCCAACAAAAATTATAAGAAAAGTTTTGTAAGGATAAAGTTTACCTATATATAAAATGAAATGCATGATTACACGAAGGTGTGGAGCATGAGATTATAGGATCAGGCAGACCAATGAAGCCTAGAAGTCTGTCATGAAACCATAATGGCCAAAGTTCTTGATGACAGAGACTGATTTGGAGGGAAGGCCATTGTAGCAGTGGGCCACAATGTGGGTAAGTGGTTCTGCCAGTCTATGTGAATGGGCACTGGCTGATGATGGAGGTTAGTGATCAGGAAAGATGAGATAGCCACAGATCCATGCAGACAGGTACAAATAGTGAAGGAGGGCTGCAGAGATAATGGACAAGAACAGAGTCCTGTATTTTGATTGAGAAAAGTATGCGAATCACTTAAAACAGTACCTGGCACAAAATTAGTGCTTGTTAAATGTTTTCATATTTAAACTCCAACCTCAAAGTCCTGTAGGCACCAATGAAATCACAGACACAGATCCAGGAGTGGAAACGGTAGAGAATAAAAAGCACATGACCCTCTAAAGTTAGTACCTGCTACTTTGGGATCAGTGTTGCCAGATCATCCCATTTTCAAGGAAATTTGAATTTTAATATGTGTTCATAATTTTATACAAGTAGGCAGCCACCTTTCAACACTTCAAACACAGCATATTCCTAGTCCATAGACCCCCTTGCAGGCAATGTCTTCTTCAAATAAACTGGAGGTTCTGAGCAGATTCTGCACAAGCCAGGACTCAGCCACAGGGGAACAGAGTGCTAGAACTGGAGTACAAAGTTGGGACTTGATTACAGGGACAAGTGATTAAAACTAGGACATAGGATCAGGACAGGAATAATAGCAAGCTTGACTTAATGCTGAATCACCTGAATTACTGAAGTAGAGCTTCTTCAGTCTATCTGAACAAGAATGGTTAGAAGCCAGACCAGAAATGGGGTTAAGCTTACTGGTAGGAAGCAAGTAGCCTCAGCCGTGGAAATGAAGGGGTCTGTAGAAGGAAACAAAGCAATGTATTAAACACAGCTAGGGTCTTCTTATTCTGTCACTCTTCCTACTTTCTTTTGCTTATCAAACATTTACATTGGAATTACTGTATGCCTACTATTGCTTTGAGCCCTTAATGCATGTTAACTCATATAATCTTCATGACAATTCTATGAGGTAGATATTATTTATCTATTTTGCAAATGGAAAAACTGAATCTTAAAGATGTTAAATAACTTTCTCAAGGACTCCCTATAAGATGTAAGCCAGGAGTAAATCCAGATATCTTGGCTATAGAGTTTAAGGACTTACTTAAGTCCTATTATACTGCTACTTACATTTTTTTCCTCTCTAACTTATTTTCTACCTCTCAGAGAACAAAGTTTACTCTCTTACTACTCTACTACATATAGATTTATTTAGGTGGAAGACAACTTGTCACAGAGGCTTTAATACCCTTGGGAGAGGGACTTATGTACAGAATACATTAAGGAATTCTATGTTCCAAGTGAATCTCTTTTTTGTACCATTTACAAAATGAGCAGTGCTTTACAGAAGACATAGACCACAGAAGCTTGAGTTTGCAAGCAAGACCACTTTGTTGTACTATATCTGCACTATTTTAAAGCTCTGTTAGGGTTCTTCTGATTTAACTGTCAGATTCTCCCATGTAAATATTGCTTATCAGTAGGATCTAAGGATTTTGAACAGGCATGTGGTATCTGAGCTAATTAGTAAAACCAGTCCCACAGTAACAAGTTACTATAGTCAAATTGCTCCCGTTCTCCTAATTATCAACTTTGTACCTAACTTTGATTCTTTAAAGCTTTTTATTTAATCTTCAACTTTTTATACTTAATGCAGCCCTCTTTTTACCTATCTTTAAAGAAATGTACTGAACAGCTTGGTGTGGTGAAGACTTTCCGATTTTTTTGCAGTGTGGTCTTAAGCAGTTCATTTGGTCTTTCTGAACCTATATTAACGTATAAGACAGAAACTATCATACCTACCTCGAAAGTTGTTATGCAAATCAAATGTGTATTGTATATGAAATCAGACTTCAACTTCTGGTTGATAGCAATTTTTGTACTTATTTTTAAAATAAGGATTTATAAAGAAACACATGCTAAACTCTTGCAAGTACTGTATGTATAAATATCTTTTCATATAGAATACATGAAATGCAGTAGCCATTGGGATCAGGACATTTAGCATACAGCCATTAATGTGGATATGCTTTTGTTCCTATCATCGCCCCAGCTCTCCCATTTTTCACTGACTCACTGGGTAACCTTGAACCAATCACTGTTCCTTTTGCAGTCTATTTTCTACTTTCTCATTCCCCAGTGTTCTATACTTTGTTTTCCTCTTTCTCATGTTCTACTTGTTCACATAATTTCAGCTCTATTTAATGAAAAAATGATTTCAGAGTTCCCCAGAGCATTTTAGTCATGCTGCATAAGAACATTTCCTTCCCAAAAAGTATTACCTGAATGACAGATTGTAATTTATATATGAAAGTTCTTCTCAAATATGATGTTATTACAAGTAAGTGTACTAATTTTGCTGATTAGCAATTTTTGTTTTAGATATAAATGCTTCTTATGAAAACAGCTCCTTGGCACACAGGCAGAAAGCAAAAACTAAAGGAAATTTCCAGGGCCAAGGGGATTTTTATGTAAATGTCGAATAAGGATACAAAAGATATTTAAAGTAATTTCTACTTTTTTTAAGAAAGTAAGTTAAGGGACATTAGAGCCCTGCCATTAGTTAAAGCATCAATAAGGTTGTATATGAATGCCTCAAATAAACTCAGTGTTACTTAATGTCATATTTGAGATATGCATAGGACTTGCATATGGCACAATCTTACCTATTGTGCAAAAACATAAGTCTTCTATAATCTCCAGTCTCACTTGAAGAGAGAGAGACAGACAGACAAAGATAGACACAGAGAGCAGGGGGAGGGGGAGAGGGACAGGGACAGGGAGGGAAGGAGGGACAGAGACAGAGACAGAGACAGAGACATAGATAGATAGTTCAAAGTGAGTAAAGCCTGCTTGTGACCTAGAGTAGCTCCCTGAAGGTTGACTTAATTAAATGGGTAACATGTTACCCTTATGAGATTCTGTGGCCAACTGAGATGCTATACTCTCTCAACATACTTTTTCCCTTCAGTAGACATGTCAGAGTTCTACTGAACACTACCAAAGAAAACCCTATTCTTTTGCTTTCTAAAAATAGAATTAACCAGAGAGATTCTAGAATTCTTTTCTTTTTTTTTCCCAGCCTTCTCTAGTATTTATTTCATAGTCTGGCAACTTTCTGCAAACACATTGTGAGGAATGGTACAGATGAGAATCAGAAGTTGTAAATATTATTAAGTAACTCGGGGCTTAATGCAAATCTCTCACTTCATATGGCTATTCTTGTTCAGCTGGTAAGTGGGAAACTTGGGTCAACAATTTACTTCTATCATACAGTCACAGTAACAAACAACCGTAAAGTCAGTGGCATATAACAATAAGCATTTATTTCTCCTGTGTGTTTGCCAGTTGGCCTGGCCAGCTGCATCAGGCTGTGAAGTATCAGGTTGTTCTAGGCATCTCTGCTTCATGTTTCATTCTAGGGGCTTGGAGATAGGACAGAAGCCGTGCTGGGGATGTTTTTATGCTGTGATATCAAAGCATAAGTGTTCAAACCCATGATAACACAGCACAGTGAAAGCCTCTGCTCATGTTAAGTTCAGTCACATCCAATTGGCCGGAACAAGTCACACTACCAAACTCAAACTACAAGGAATGAATATTTGGTAAACAGTAATACCACACCATTGCCTGAAATAAAAATACTAATAGTCTGTAGGGAAAAGGCACAAAAGTTACAAAAACACTTTAAAAATACTGGCAGGTCAGTGACACTAAACAAAGAGAAACACCCTATTCAATTGCTAGGGGGTGTAAAAACTTTGTTTCCAGAGGTAGAAATGACTGTGGAGACAAGACCAGAAGTTCTAGGACTGTTGCTTGAAAAACCACCCAGGAGAGTTACAGAGTGAATGAAGTGGGAGAAAAGGGGGATAAAAGAATAATTTCATTATCAGGGATATGAGAGGATCCTTAGTATGATCGATCATCCCTAAGATTTTTGTGCCAATAAGATCACTTATGTAAAAGTTACTTGAGAACAATAGCAATATCATTGTAATATTAGCAGTGAGATTTGTACAGAATGCTTCAAATGTCATGGGCTAGTAGATGCAAACACAACCATGGTACTGGGGAAGAAGAGAAAAAAACATTTGGTCCTAAAAATGGATTGGAAATGTGAGTGAAAGTTAGTAAAGGAGGAGTATGACAGGAAATAAAGGATGCCGTGGGTTCAGGAACATAAAGAAGAAATTGCATTAGCAGTGAGGTTCACCTAGGAGCCAAGAATGGGCTTGAGACTGAGGTGTTGCTAAGTAATGTTTAAATGACACTTCTGTTTGATTCTAGCAGCAGGAATCTGAGGATAAGAGCTCTCTGAGGAGAAAGTACCTGACATCTTACAGAATGACATG